CGCTGCTGCCCGCTCGGAAAACGCCTCAGGTCAGACTCCGCACAGTGTGGCGGACTGCTGGCCGCGTGGTCGCAGCTCCTTCATCGGCCGACGGGCTTGCGGTAGTCCCTCGTCGTCGGCCCGTTCGACAGGCAGCAACAAGCTGGATGCCACTCGTACTCCTCGCTGGTGAACTGGGCCGCCGCGGCGAGGACCGGGCTTCGCTGGAAACGGGCCGGGGGGGTGATCCCACGCCACTGGCGCTCGGCCCGGGTGGCAGCGCATGTGGCCGAAGAGGGCTTTCCATGACGAGAACCGCTTGGGCACTCCGGTGCACGGAGGGATGGTGCCCGGTGTTGTTATCGGGTCGGGTTTTCTTCGCTGTCGGGGTTTGAGGACGTTGAAGCGATGGTGATCGGAGTCGGGTTGGGGTCCGAGTTCGATTTGTTTAATGTAGGGTTGTTGACAGCGAAGGAGGTCTTGGAGTTGGGGATTTGGTGTTGGCGTTGTTCATCGTGGTGGATTTTTTTGTTTTGTTTCGTTTTTTTTTCAAACGGATGGAGGAGGATTCGAAAAGAGAGAGGGAGGGAAGGGGGTGGGCATTATGAGCGGGGGGAGTTTGCACCAGCGGTTACTGACAGTAACTGACCACGTTCGCTGTGAGATTGGCTTGGAGAAGCCACTGGGACGTGAATAAACCGGAGGAGAATCCTAGGAATTTCGTGTTGGATCTGAACTTGCCGCCTCCGTTGGAGACGAGCGCCGGTGGTGATCGGAGGGACGATGGCAGCGTTTTGGATTTAAGGCTCGGGATGTGATTTTATTTATTTATTTTACTTATTAACCATTATTCAAATGGGTATTGGTTTGTATTTTTAATGTACTACTAATGATTAAGACCGCCTGTTGCCTGCAAAGTAGGTCCAGGACGGAAAACTGATGGATTGGCTTCGCTTAATTTATGATTAAATATACTCTAACTCTCCTGATAAATTGATTGATCGATTACTTAGTACAAATATGTGTGTTGTTCCCTATGTTGTATAGCATCCCGAAGCATGTTTGCTATATCCACTCCCAAACAGTAATTTTGGGAGTTGGATTGCCAAAAATGCCCTTTTGATGTTGAGGGTGTTTCTGGAATGGACTTGGCCTGTTTTGGTTTGAGAGAAAGACAATTTAGACCTCACACACCCCCAAAGTTACTGTTTGGGAGTGGGAATAGTTGGACCCGTGCGGAAGTTACTTGCGGAAAATTCACTTGTTTTACTAATTTGTTTACTGATTGACCTTCATTAGCTAGTTGCTTGTTCTAGCGTTGCTCTTTTATCAGGGTTATTATCACCGTCACTCGAGCTTAGAACTGAATCATGATGGCTTGATACTGAGCATCTAGATCATTTTGAACTGTTAGAAACCAAACCCATCAATCCTTAACTTATTTGATTGCAACTAAGACCTGGCTTAAGGACACGAATTATCTATTCAATTCTTAATGACAAACGCCGTTTGAAGATGTGCAGTTCTAGATTATAGGAACCTGCGCATTTCTAAACGATGAAAATTATTTCAGATGTACTTGTGCCGAGCATATCTGCATCGTTCAAATTCCAGTTAATGTGAGAGTTGTGGATCCTCAAACCTGTAAAAAAATGTCATTTTCACCGGGGATGATCGACCTTCAAAATTACAAGCGATTAAGCTTTGCCCACATGGGACCTTTTTTTTAATAACGGTGAGTGTGAACCCCCTGTCCCATTAATAAGAATTTAATGAAGTATTTGTAGCTACAAAACAGGATGTCTTCGTGTCAAACACAAGTTGCACGAAGTAAACAATTGTTTCTACATAAGGCTACCCATCAATATCTCAATATAAAAGAAAATATCTAAAAGAGATTGGCAAAACAACCTTTGTCTGAACAAACAAAACCAATAATCCAAACTGATGAAGTATATAAGTAAGCATCACTCATCATCCTTATCAATTTTCTCTTTTCTCACATGTAAATCTCTTATTTAGAGATTACCTGTCTCAGATCTAAGCTAAGATCATCACACACCTCTTCTTGATCTTCAAATAACGGCCGAAAGGCAACCACACCGTTGATTCAAAGAGAAGCTTCGCATATCACCCCGCGTCAGTTAGTGATGGTATGTGTGTGTCTGTATATATATATATATATATACTTACTATATATATATATTTATAATATACTATATATATATATATATATATATATATATATATATATATATATATATATATATTATATATATATATATATATATATATAGAGAGAGAGAGAGAGGAGAGAGAAATGCGGTAACATTGATCCATCCGAGTCCGGCCGTGACCCCGTGGCCCGAGAATCCGGGCTCGCGGCCAGGCAAAAAAAAATCGGGGGGAGCCCGGACCGGGCCTAACCTGGCCGCGGCATCCGGGCCGGCCCGGTTTTTTTTAATTTTTTTTTCTTTTCTTTTTTTTTGATAAAAAATACTAAAAATTAGTTTAAATTTATTATATTTTATATAATTATGTATTAGTATATACTTACAAATTATTATGTAACTATATATTATATATACATATATTATATGTAAATATATTGTATATATTTATAAGTTATAACTTGAGAGAGAGAATCGCATAAGTAGCCATTGCCCGTTTGGCCAATGGGGAAGAAGTAGCTGTTGTAATATACTATATTTATATATACTTATATACTAAGATGGAGAGTATACACACACACACACACATATTATACATATATAAGAGAGAGTATACTTATATATACATATATACTAAGAGAGAGAGTATATATATATATACACACATATATTATACATATATAAGAGAGTGTATACTTATATATACTTATGTAAGAGAGAGTATACTTATATATACATATATACTAAGAGAGAGAGTATACACACACACACATATTATACATATATAAGAGATAGTATACTTATATAAGAGGGAGTATACTGTATACATATATAAGAGAGAGTATACTTATATATACATATATACTAAGAGAGAGAGAGTATATATATATACACACATATATTATACATATATAAGAGAGTGTATACTTATATAAGAGAGAGTATACTTATATATACTTATATACTAAGAGAGAGTATATATATACACACATATGACATATTATACATATATAAGAGAGAGTATGTTTACTATATACTTTGATATAAGAGAGAAGTAATACTTATATATACTTAATACATATATTAGTACTTATATAAGAGAGAGCTTATAACTTATATATATTATATACTAAGGAGAGTATAATAATACACACATATCTATACATATATCGTCTCAATATATTGATATGCATATATTATATATATACCATATATTATACTATTAAAATATATTATATATACAATATTATACATATTATAATATTTATATATAACATATATTATACATCTATAATACATATAAAAAATAAAAAATAAAAAAGCACTATTCCGGACCGGGTCGGGCCGGGCCGGGCCAACCAAGAGCGGCCTGGGCCCGACTTCGGAGCCCCGGCGTGGCGCCGGCGTTTCCGGGCCGGAGCCTGGCCGCGGGCCGTGGTCGGCGCCGGGCTGGGGGGTTTTTGGACACCCTAGAAATGGGTCGCGCTTGGTACCAAGCACAAAAAATTGTGCTTGATAGTGAGGTGTCACATCCCCCTCCACTCATTCAAATGGTTACATATCCCCATGCACTCCTTAACCCATGTGAATGTGGTCCTCCATTTGAATGAATGGAGAAGGATGTGCCACCTCACTACCAAGCACAAAATTTGTGTTTGGTAAAAAGCATATCCATTTTTTTCAAATGAGAGAAATGGGTATGATTGGTATCAAGTACAAAAAGTTATGCTTGGTAGTGAGATGTCACATTCCCCTCCACTCATTCAAATGGTACCAGGCATAACAATATATTTCAACTTTTTTGTTTATCATCATATAACAATTAATCCCGAAATTAAGTGCGTGATGAACTACCGTAAAATCCTAAAAAAATTAAGTGCGGGACGAACTACCGTAAAACAATTCGTTTATCATCATATAACAATATATTTCAAGTTTTTCGGGGTTTTACATTCACCCCTCCTTAAAAAGAATCGTGTCCCTGAAATTCAGCAAATAATTACAATGTATGTATCATACGTGCAAAGCTTACACTTAATTGTTTAGAATGTGAATACTCCCACTTAACCGCTAATTAAATAAAACTAGTATCGGGCGAAAAAATCCAAACAAGGAACGCCTCATGTATATACCATATGTTCCGAATGATTAGGTGCTAAGTGTTA